GCCTCCTACTGTACTGAGGGCCCTCTTTGATACTCAATTTGAGTCCTAAAGCCCCAGTTTTTGAGAGCCCCATGAAGTGCCATTCACCCTTGGGTAGTTGAGAAGGGGGGGGGGAGAGAGAGAGGAGGGGGGAGAGAGAGAGAGAGGAGGGGGAGAGAGAGAGAGAGAGAGGGAGAGAGAGAGAATCCATTTAAAAATGTAGCCATGTAATAGTAATAATAGGTTGCTTTCCCTTGGGGGGAGGGCTGCCGTGAGTGAGTCAGGCTTACCACAGCACTATGTGAAATGCATTTCAAAGAAGGTAGGCTTCTGGGCTCTGGCAGGATGTGCTGCATGGTCCCAGAGTCTCACCCAGGGTCTTGAAGTGGCTGTGGCTAGAGAAGGCTAACCTTGAAATTAGGCGGCGGTTCTAACAAACGTCGTATCTTCTTACTGGGTAAGCTGTTCTTATCCTTGCACCAGTTTTGTACTTTAGACCCATCCTTTCTTTCTCACAAAGGCAAACAAGAGATTTAGGAACATAAGCTGGGGTTTGGGAATATGTCTGATGTTCACATAAATAGATGTTGCTTTGGTGGGGAGACTGTTTTCTTTGAAAAAGGAGCAGAGATGTAGATATTCAAAGAAAGAGACCGACTGCTAAACAGGGCTGTCCTCAATACCAAATTACTTCATGGCATCCAGGGCTCGGTGGCTGTGTAGCCACAGGATTTGTTCCATGTTCCAAAAAGAAACTTGGCTCTCCGCTGAAACTGTGTAATGCTTTCCAGGACTGTGGGACCATGCTTCTACCCCAGAGTGGTCAGGCCCCATCCAGTTCAGAGGAGAAAAGCTGTCTTAAAGGGGTAATGCATCCTTCTTTCCTTCTGACTGAATCTCATTCTTGAACAATAAAAAAAATGCCAGGATGCCAAAGTCTACCATATAAATATATCTTGCAGGTCTGGAGGAGGTTACTAAAGGCTTCTTGGATTTTATTTTTCATGGAAATGAATTTTTAATGAATTTTTTCAATTGTCAAGAATTTATTTTTTTACATTCCACCTCTCCTCATCATTGGGAAAAAAAAAGAAAAACAAAACCCTTACAACACATAAGCATAATCAAGGGAAACAAATCCCCATATTTGCCATGTCCAGAAGTGTGTCTTATTCTGCATGTTAGTGTATCACCAACCTCTCTGTCATGGCGTGCGTAATGTCTTTATCACTACTTCTTTGGAATCATGGTTGACCATTGCTTTCATTCTTATATAGCACTGTTCTTTTTTGCAGTATTGATGTTCTAGTACAAATTACTCTCCTGGTTCTGCTGACTTCCCTCTGTATCAGGTTGTACAAGTCTTCCCAGGTTCCTCTGAAACCAACTTTTCATTTCTTAATAACAACAGTAGTCCATTAGATTCACTTACCACAATTTGTTCGGCCATTCTCTGGTTAATGGGCATCCCCATGAAAGTCAGTTTTTAAAATACTTTAGCACTATTAGCTTCTGGAAAACAGGCATTATATCCCAGATTTTAACCTTGGCAGGTCCAGCTCCAAGATTCTCTGAATCCAAACTTCACAGAACAAATCCCTTTAATAAAAGTCCTTTCTGGTAGCTTTCTCAGCCCAGACCATGGTACTATCATCCTAATCATCCAGACAGTAGTAGAGGAATGCCTGGACTTGTTTATTCCCATTGAGGGGGCACACAAGAATAGATCATCTGTCTTTTTCCTTGGCCTCTGTTTCCCCATCTAGATTGCCACCAGGATCTCTTCTAGCTCTGACCCTATTATCCTATGGCTATTCTAAAAACCGTATTACTACGTAACAGTCCTTCCACAATTACTATTGCAGGCTTGTATGCTAGCTATCTCCATAGGGTCAGAGCTAGAAGAGATCCTGATGGCAATCAGATGGGGAAACTGAGGCCGGGGGGGGTTGTGACTTGTCTTAAGTCACACAGGTAATAAGTAAAAGAGCCAGACTTTAAAACCAGGTCCTATGGCTCTAAATCCAGAACATTTTCCACTGAACAATGTTATCACATAGTAAAACATCTTGAGTTGGGAGTCAAGAAATAGATGTGTTGTCTTGTCTCCTCTAGTAACTTGGAAGACAATCTATTACCTCAGAAAAATCCAGAAAAGGGCAATGTTCTTATTACCCATCCTCCTGAATGTCTTACCCAGGATCCACCCGTCCAGAGATTCTGTCACAGTCTGCAAGGACTTTGCTAGTCATTCCCTCATCCCAATTCAGTGGTAATACCAATAATTCTTGTGTGCCTCTGCTTTCATGACACTATATCAGTCCTCAGAACAACTTGGGAAGCTGTTTCTACAGCTCACCCTCACACCCCAGGGCACAATAGTACAAAATTCACTAGATTCATAACTAAACCTGGTGTTTGTGAACTGTCCAAGCTTAGTGAATACTGGTGCAATAGACGAGTGCTAACATTGATTATCAAGGATGGGCTTGCAAAAGGGCCAGAGAGGTTAATGTTACACAATGGACAAGAGACAGACTAGGCAGAGACCTTTCCCCTCTTTTGTAGCCTTCTTAGGAAACCTGTCAAATTAACACATGCCCCCATCTTCCCATCTTCTAAGCCGGCATGTAATAAGACCAACATTCTACTTGTAAGCACATATAACATTGTACAAGAAGACTTCTTAGAAGGAGGAAGGCAAGAATGAGCATCCAATGAGCCCAAAGAAGTACATAAGTTGTTCTGCAGCTTGTAGTTGTTATTAAACTACTAACAAGTCAAGAAGAAAGAGAAAAAAGAGAAAGAAAAAAGGGAGGGAGGGAGAGAGAGAGAGAGAGAGAGAGAGAGAGAGAGAGAGAGAGAGAGAGAGAAGAGAGAGAGAGAGAAAGAGAAAGAAAGTTACTGATCTTTTAGGGACACTCTCCAGTTTTACAATGTCCTCCTACTTTGTGGTGCCCAGAATTGAGCATAATAGTCCAGTTGTGGTCTGAGTACAGAGAAACTATCACCCCCTTATTCCTTGTGCTTCTCAATGAATCCTGAGGTCAGGTTAGCTTTTTGGGTTGCTACATCATTCTGCTAAGTCATATTCAGCACTAAAATAGTCCATATCTTTTCTTGGATAGACTGCTATCTCTCCATGCCTAATTTAGACCATAAGCCCCCTGAAGACAGTTTCATTATTTTTCTTTGTGTCCCCTAGCACAGTGCCTAGCATAGTAGTAGTCACCACTTAATTAATTGCGGTTTAATTGCTTCTACAGTGTAACTAAAAGTTTGGCACATGGTAGACCTTTAATAATTTCTACTTGACTGTTTACTATCTCTCAAACACTTCATGTACTTATCAACTCAGTTCAGGCTTAGGCTTATGATATCCCCTACACTTAGATTTCCCTTTTCCTTATTCCCACCTGTTGAATCATACTCAACCTTGAAGACCCTGATCATACGCCAGCTCCTCCATGAAATTTTTTTTTACTCTCCCTTGTTCCGCGCTCACCCTCTATAGAAATTATCCTTCTTTCTGGGATTTCTGTAGCAAATTGGTTGAATCTCCCTTAGAAATGCCTATTTCATTTTGTACTTCAGCTATTAGTGTATTACCAATATTTCCTACGCTCCTTGAAGGCATGGGTCATTGGACTCACCTTTGTGTCTTGCTGAGCACCCAGAATGATGCTCAGCATCAATAGGTGCTAAATAAAGGGTTTTTGAACTTGAATTTCCTGTTGAAGTTCTCCTACTTCTGAGCTGTATCAGAGAAGCCAGACTCTTCCCACCACTTCCTAGGTAACTAGGAAGAGAAAAGGGTTAAAGAATTCTCTACAGTCTGTGATGCTTTTTTTAAAGAAATTTATGAAATAAAACAGGCATTTCCATAATATAGTAGAATTTTAAAAAAGATTGCACATGAAACCCTATATCTGTTATGTACAACTGTTTCTTTTAAATATATAGAAAGTTATCACGTAACTTTCTTTTTTTTCTTTTTTTACTCTCGTGCCCCACCCTGCCCTACAGGTGCTACCATTAGACCCAAATATATATATATATATATATTTATATGTAAAATCATTCTATACATACTTCTATTTATCAATTCTTTCTCTGGATGCAGATATGATAGGTATGTTCCATGTTTTTCACATTTTCTTAGAATCTCTCTCTTTATATCTAGGTCATGTATGCATTCTGACCTTATCTTGGTAAATGGTATACGATGTTGACCTATGCCCAATTTCTGCCAGACGGCTTTCTAGTTTTCCCAGTAATATTTACCAAATAGTGAATTCTTATCCCCAAAACTCAAGTCTTCATACTTGTCAAATACAAGATTACTATAGTAATTTGGTACTATAAATTCTGTGTCTATTCTGTTCCACTGATCTACCTTTCTGTTTCTTAGCCAGTACCAGATAGTTTTGATAATTACTGCCTTATATAGTTTAAGATCCAGTACTGCTAAGCCTCCTTCCTTTATATTTTTTTCCTTAATTCTTTCTTGCTTTTCTTAGGGGTGATGTAATAAAATTAAATAAATAAAATTAAACTTATATTATACATAAATATATTATATATTATTATATTAAATATATTGTCTAAAGTTTTACATATATTATACAAATTAAATAAATAATTAAAAATTAGATGACATTTTTAAAATTCTTTTTTATATTCTTGACTTTATTTTATTTTTGATTTATGGAATAAAACAAGCATTTCCATAGCATAGTACAATGAAAAAGATGATTGCACATGAAACTGCAAATCTATACTGTGTACAACTTGCTATTCCTTTCAAATATATAACAAAACTAACGTGTAAATTTCTTTTTTTTTCCCCTCCCTCCACCTCTCCCAAGAGATGGCTACCATTAGACACGAATATTTATACATATATACATATATGTGTGTGTGTATGTGTCTGTATGAATGTACACATATATGTATATATACATATATATAATTATTCTATGCATACTTCTATTTATTAGTTCTTTCTCTGGATGCAGATAGTGTCTTTTCACTTTTTGTTCTTCCAAATGAATTTTGTTATTATTTTTCTAATCCAGTAAAATAAATTTTTGGCAATTTAAGTGGGATAGCATTGAGTATATAAATTAGTTTAGGTAAAATTGTCATTTTTATTATATTGCCCCTGCCTACCCATGTGGCTTCCTCAGCATGACTGATGCAGAGTCATGATGAAGTATAGAATAGATAACTGACTTGTGTCAGAAAGACCTCAGTTCAAATCCTACTTCAGATACTTGTTAGCTGTGATTGATTCTTGGTAAAGGAGTTAGGATTCAGTGGCCTCTCTAGCTCTGTGTCTGTGATACTGACCCTCTGTCCTGAAATCAGATGGCCAGTCAGCGTGTTACCATTTGCCTGGTGGATGGCAATTGGATTAGGGGACCTGATAGAGCATAAAGGCCTGGTGTGGTACAGAGGAGCAAGAGAACCACAGTTTAAATTTCCCAGGCCAGTGACCAGGTCAGCTAGAGTTTGGCTTCTGTGTTTTTGTTCATGTTGACCCTGTGGTTTGCATGGGCTTCCCCCAGTCATCTCCACCTGTTGAAGTCTTTCCCTCCTTAATGACTCACTTCATCCTTGAAACTTTCTCTGACCTTAGCTGGAACTGAGTTCCTCCCCCTCAGATTTCTCAAAGCCTTCTCTTTCGTGTGGTCATTTCTTCACTCTTCCCCCACGAACCCCCTACTATTAAGTTGTAAATTCCTCCTGAGCAGCAGGGTCTGTGTTGCATCTATCTTTGTAGAGCCAGAACTTTACACCGTGCCTTGTACATAATAAGGACGTAGTCAGTGCAAGCTAAAGGCTTAGCTTGTTTTAAGGTTACAAAAATGACCATTTCCTATTGGTTTTACAGGTAAAGAAGGAGGCAAAGCCCCTGAGTGAAGTTGAATTCTTCAATTTCTACTTCTTCAGTTTGGGGATTTCAGTATATACAGGTAAGAAATTTATCTCATATCTACTTCCCTCTTACAGATTATACGTTAGAGTTCCTAGCTCTAGATCTATTTTACCATAATGAAGTAAAATAAAAGTTTATTACGTCACCCCTAAGAAAAGCAAAAGAGTCAACTATATTTTATGAATTATATAGTAAAAAAAAATTCTTAATTCTGATTTAGTGGACAAAGCTGGGCTGCATGTGGCATGTGCTGAACAAAGGAAAACTCATTTTAATATTAGCTGAAGACTATTTTAATTTACTTTGATGTAAATTTTAACATTTAAATATTGCAATACATTCCAAAGTCATGATCCCAAATCCCTGATCTTCCTTTCTACCTGTAAGTGGTATCTTCCTTATTATAATTGTTTATATAATTTTATCTTGGACCATTTCTTGTCCTTCTACACAGTCTGCCTTTTATCATACTTTTGTGTGTATGTATGTGTCTCTTGTTTTTCTGTTAGAATGTAAGGCCTTGAGGTTAGCAACTATATCAGTGTTTTTGTTCGAAGCATAATCCCTTGTACAGTATGGCTGTTTGATTTATCAATGTGTTTTGAATGGAAACACAAAGTGTCCCCAAAGTCTTAGTGTAATTTAAAGCCTTGAAATCTTAAATAATACCCTTCAAGCTTATATTTCATAGTTTAAATATTCATATTTAAATATTTTATAGGTTAAAAAGCTGTAAAAGATTAAAACCATACTAAGGACTTGTGAGGGACAGCGAGGTGGCACAGTAGATAGTGCGTCAGACCTGGAGTCAGAGAAGACCTGAGTTCTAATCTGGTCTCAGACACTAACTAGCTGTGTAATCCTGGGCAAGTTACTTCACCCTGTTTGCCTAAGTATAAAACTGTAAAATCAGCTGGAGAAGGAAATAGCAAAACACTCCAGAATTTTTGCCCAGAAGACCCCAAAAGGGGGTCACGTAACGTTATATATGACTGACCAACAATAACAACAGCAGGACTTTTGGGACACTTTTATAAGTAATTTTAAAGAAATATCTTATAACACAATTGCCATGGAAAATCAGTTAACAGTCATCTGTTAAGCTTTTGTGCCAAAGCCCTGTGCTTGGGGGTAAAAATAAAACAAAACCAAAAAAACCGTCCTTGCCCTCAAGAAACTGTCATTTTTCTGGGGTTTGATTGTAGGACCAGTAGACAGACAGGTTTTTGAATCCCACTGCTCTCCTTGCCCATCAAAGTTTCCCAGGAAGTGATTATTTCTGAGAGGCAGTGTGGTACAGTGGAGAGAGCACTAGACCCAGAGTGGGGACTGCTGGGATCAGTCCCCAGTTCAGACACTTCTTGTGCGATCATGGTAAGCCATGATGTGGTTCAGAGGATGCCGTACTTGGAGTCAGAAGGAGGTGGGTTCACATCTTGCCTCTGACATATTCTAGCTGGCTGACCCCGGGCAGGTCCTTTCATCTCTCTGAACCTCGGTTTCCTTCTCTGGGGTTTGACTTCGTGGTCTCAAAGGTCCTTTCCAGGCCTCAATCCATGATCTTATGAACTTCTCAGAGCCTCAGTTTTGTCGTCTATTAGAACCACAGAATCAAAGCTTTAGATCTGGAAGGAACTTTAAAAGGCATCATATCCAAACCCTTCATTCTACAGATGAAGAGAAAAGTAAGTAGAGTAACACAGGCTTGTTTTATTCCATAAATTAAAAATAAAATTTAGTATTAAAAACAAGCTATATGTACTACCTGCTTCACAGGGTGGTAAAGAAAGTGGCCCACAAACTTTAATGTGCTCTATACACATATGGTTTTTGTGATTATCTCTCCTAGTCCTTAAGTCTCTGTCCTTGGTAATCAGTCTGTAATGTTTGCTGAAAGGTGTTAACATTTTCGGGACACTGGTATGCAAAGTCACTGAAGCAATAATGTACTAAATAATAGACTAGTGGCTAGAAATTATTCATTTGCCTCCATAGAAAGCTCTACTAATGACCCATAAAAGAAGTGCCTTTAGGTGGTCCCAGGCCTCAAGTATTCCCAAGGAGGAACAAACCCCATACCATTAGCCCAATGATCAGCAGACCTGAATGGTGCTGAGCTGGTCATAGAGGCCTTCAGAGAAGCAGTAGCTTGAAAGGAACAAACCTTCCAGATTAATGAGCTGAATAAAAATCATAGACTCAGTTTCCATCTGAGCCTAAGGAGGAACTTTGGAGAGGGAGGAGCCAAGATGGTGGAGTAAAAGCAGTGACTTGCTTGAGCTCTCCCCCAAACTCCTCCAAATACCTGTAAAAATGGTTCTGAAGAAAGTCTAGAGCAGCAGAACCCACAAAAAGACAGAGTGAAACAAATTTCCAGCCCAAGGCAACCTGGAAAGTTGGCAGGAAAGGTCTGTTGTACTGGGCTGGGAGAGGAGCACAGTTCAGCGTGGGTCATGCAAGCAAAGACCAGGCCTCAGCAAAACCCAGAGCGGTCCTCAGGGGACTGAATCACAGGGCAGCTGTGGCAATTTCCAGACTTCTCAACCCACAAATGCCAAAGACAACTTAAAGGGACAGTAGAAAAGGTCTGTCAGACTGCAGTGAGAGAGGAGCTTGGTCTAGCCCCAGTCCTGGGGCACGCTGGTGCAACCCCAGTGTGGCAGCTACTTCTGGAACTCTCGGCCCACAGACAGAGGGGGGATTGAGCAGCTGATCAGAGGGGGATTGCAGGGATCTCTTTGCTGGTGCTGAGGCAGGATTTTCTTGCTTTGTGTATGCTTGGACCTGGGTTGAAGTCCTAGTTGGAGGTCCTGGAGTTAAGGAGGAGCGCTGGTGTGGTGGAGCTGGTGGTGGTGAAGAGAGAATCCTCCTCACAGTTCCAAGGCAGAAAGAGTACTTGTGGTCACTCATAGACCAGACCACAGGCCAAGAAAGGAATAAACACCTCACCTTTAATCATACCACCTTGGAAGAACTGAAAATGTATGGGTCCCTAGAAATACCTCTGAAAACACCTGCACAAAACCCCTGAAGCTTGGGACAGTACATTCTCCACAATGGAAGCAGACCCCTACCTTAACAAAGAGTTCAATAATCAAGTAATTGGGTGGAAACATGAGCAAACAGCACAAAAAAAGTCAGACCATAGAATGTTACTTTGCTGACAAAGAAGATCAAAACATGCAACCAGAAGAAGACAACAAAGTCAAAGCTGCTACATCCAAAGCCTTCAAGAAAAATATGAATTGGTCCCAGGCTGTGGAAGAGCTCGAAAAGGATTTTGAGAAGCAAGTAAGAGAAGTAGAGGAAAAATTGGGAAGAGAAATGAGAGTGATGCAAGAAAATCATGAAAAACAAGTCAACAGCTTGCTAAAGGAGATCAAAAAAAATACTGAAGAAAATAACATCTTAAAAAATAGCCTAGCCCAAATGGCAAAAGAGGTCCAGAAGAACTTTGGATAGGGATAGAGAGCCAAAGAAGGCTGGTTTGCCTTGAGATTGGAGGTAACAAGGCAAGGCAATGAGCATTTATTAAGTTGGCTTACTATGTGTCAGGGCAGCTATTTGGTACAGTGGACAGAGAGCCTGGAGTCAGGAAGACCTGAGTTCAACTTTGCCCTCAGATACTTACTAGCTATGTGATCTTGGGCAAGTCACTTAAACCCATTTGCCTCAGTTTCCTTATCTGTAACATGAGCTGGAGAAGGAAATGGAGAAGAAAATACTTTAATATCTTTGCCAAGAAAACCCCAAGTGGGATCATAAAGAGTTGAACATGACTGAAAATGACTGAACAGCAATAGCCACCACCATGTGTCAGGTCCTGGATTAAAGTGCTCGGGATACAAGGACAAACAGAATGGAAGACAATCCCTACACCCAAGGGGCTTACATTCTAATGAGGAAGGACAGCATACAAAGGGAACTGAAAAGAACAGGGGTAGGGTACCTTTTGAGCCATGATAGTGAAATTGGAAAAGTCAGAAGCACAGCTGAGGTGGGATTGAAGATTGGCCAGTCTAGGTTCCTTCCCAAAATGGAGGCAATGGGAGGAACTTAGCAGTGAGGGAGGGTCCTGGCGGGGTGGAGGAATGTTTTCGGGTTAGAAGGCTGCAGAGGAGGAGGGATGCTCCAGGGTGAGGAGGCCCCTGGTGCTGAGGGAGATTGCAGGGTTAGAGTAGAGCTGAGGCATTGGGGTGAAGGCTAGAGAGTCAGAAGCACAGTGGGAAAGGAGCAAGAGTAGCTTTGGAGCAAGTGAAAAACAAGGGGGATTAGGCAAGTTTAGGGGCAAGGTCATAAAATCCTACCTTCTATTTTACCTGATGATAATTAGACGCACTCAGGAGAAGATGGTTTTGTTTGTTCACTGTGCTTCCATTTAACTGTGCCCAGCTGTTGGGTTGTTTCTGTCTTGGTGGTGATAAAGTCAATTATTGTCTTAGAGAGTTCACTGGGGCACTGAGAAATTAAGTGGCTGGGCCAGAATCACATGGCCAGGGTGTATTAGAGGTCAGGCATGAACCCAAGTCTTCCTGGCTTTGAAGCCACAATTCTTAGAGATCATATACAAAACACAGACCACATACAAAATAAAAACAAGGTAGTCTTGGGAGGGAGGAGGACTCCAGCAACTGAAGACTTATATATGTGTGCTATTTATTAGATTCAGAAGCATAGATGTTATTGATCAGTCAATTGACAGGCATTTATTAAGGATCTGCTATGTGCCAGCACTGTACTAAATGCCAAGGATACAAAGACAAAAGTCCCTATCGGCAAGGCCCCTATTCTTTCATGGGGAGGATGCCATATGGTATATGTCTATTCAAAACATAAGGACCTTTGTTTTCATTAGGGGAATCCTGGATGAGGAAGCTCCTTCTACTAGTGCAGGCCAGCACTTACTCTGCATCTTATAATCTTAGGGAGTTGCTTAGAGCACCGACCAGTTAAGTGATCACACAGCCATTATATATCAGGTGGGATTTGAACTCAGGTCTTCCTGGCTTCAAGGCCAGCTAAGTATGAGGTTGTGCAAAACATAGGAAGGGGTTCTTTTAGAAAGTGCCACTAGAGCTTAGTCTTGAAGGCAGTTGGGGATTCCAAGAGGCAGAGGTGAGGAGGGAGAACAACGGTGCAATGGTATCTCCTATAGCGATGCAGAAGTGTTGTGTCCGACACCAACGAGATCGATGAGGCTGGACTGTAGAGCCATAGTAGCAAACTCAGACCAGTGGCATATTGACTAGGAAACCATTAAAAATTAAATGAAAAAAGTAAACCATTTAAAAAATTAACATGACCTGTGTTGTATTGTGTTTTCGTTTATTTTGTTAAACATTTCCCAGTTATATTTTCATCAGGTTTGGGGCCATTCAACACCTCTGCTGTAGGGCTGGGATAGGGGGTGGGGGTAAGGAAGGAGGGATTAATGTGTAAAAGGGATAGAAAGTTGGAAGTGCTCTCCAAAGACAAGGGCCCATCAGTCAGGGTGTAGAATGTAAATGTTGGTCTTTATTCGTAAAAGGAGGGGCACATGTGGAGATGATTTCATGTCTGGAAAACTTCCAGAGTCACAGAAGTATTGGAGGAGCCCTGTCCCAGCTCCTTTTCCTCTGAGGTTTCCTTAACAAAAGGTAGGATCTTAATCCTGGCCATCACCAAACAGGAACAGAACTTTCCTGCCCTAGTTTCTTTCTTCCATAGCAAGTAGAACATATGGAAATAGGTAGAATACTTGCTGAGCCCTAATTCTGGATCCCAAGGGCAGCTAGGTGGTGTAGTAGATAAAGTGCCAGGCCTGGAGTCAGAAAGACCTGAGTTCAAAGCCAGCCTCAGACACCTACTAGCTGTGTGATCCTGGGCAAGTCACTTAACCCTGTTTGCCTCAGTTTCCTCATCTGTCAAATGAGCTGGAGAAGGAAATGGCAAACCACTTTCTTTGCCAAGAAAGCCCAAATGGGGTCACGAAGAGTTGGACACAACTCAAAATAATTAAACAATAACAACAATTCTGGGTCCCAGCCTAAAGTTTAGGACTCTTTTTTCTTCATTTCCCTTGCAGAGCCCCTAGTCTCTGTTCCTCCCAAATGCTTATAATGGCATGGCACCACAAGGAGAGATGACTCATTGACAGATGAGACATTAGAAGTTGTTAGACCTCCACATGAAGTCCCTACTCATGCAAACAACTGATTGTCAGGAAGGTGGGATAAAAATCCTGTCCACCCTCAAATTTTCTTCTAGAAAAGTTGTTTTTTCTTGGCACTTCCTACAGTCCTGTCAGGTCTGAAAAAGAGACAATACAGGAAAAATAAAGCCAGCCTTCGAACATAGTCAATATAGATTTAAATGGCCCTTGTGACTGAATATGTGAAAGTTTCTGTGGTGCTACCTTAGACTAAAAATTCTTGAAGTTGGAATTGTATTGAACATCTGTTCCAGTCAGTGCCTGGTACCTGATGAACACTTACTAAATATTCTGCTGAGCAAGCATGTATCAATAAACTGTTGTATAATAGTAATATTTGACATAGAATGCTTTAAAGTTTCAGAGATACATTATGTAGTTATATGCATTTGAGCCTCACAAGAACCATCTGAAAAAAGTGCTGAAGATAATATTGTCCACATTTTGCAGGTGAGGAAACTGAGGTAAACAGAAGTTAAGAGACTGAGTAGCCCATGGTCACACAGCTAATAAATGCCAGATAAAATTCAGGTCTCTCCCAGCTCCACTCTGAACTATTTCAATTTACTGTACCATGCTGTAATATTGTATTTTAGGAGTAAATTGATTCCCAATATACCTCCTTACTTTCAGAATCCTCATGTGGCTTAAAAGTCTCAAGAGGTAGAGGAGATGGAAGCTACGTGGCTACCTCATGTTGAGTTGAGGGCCCCTAACTCTGACACATGCTGTGGTTGTATTGTATATCAAGGTTCTCTTTGAAGAACGTTGGAATTGATTGTGAGACATGGGAGACACTGGCACAGGACCGCCCAGCTTGGTGTGCCTGCACCAAAGAAGGCGCTGGGCAGAATTGTGGTGGCTCAAATGTGAGATGTTCAAATTTACAGCCATCGCCACTCCAAATGGCAAATGGACTATTTGTGCCCTACCTGTGGGAGAGCCTTCCCAGCTCATGTGATTAGCCACAGTCTGACACACAACATAGCGATGTCATTTTGGTCCACCTAGGGAAGGAAGGACAAGAACCAGCCATGAATGTATCTGAGATTAGCCAAAAACGGATGTGTTACTGTTGGTAGCTAGTCAGTATTCAACTGGTTTGGGCCAGTTTTATCACAGAAGGTTTTTTTGTTTTTTTTAAACCACTGTTTCAAATTATGGACGGTTTTTAGTTTTACTTTTGATTTTTTGGTGACTTTTGATATAGCTTTTCAATTCTCCTCATATTTTCTGAACTTTGTTGCTTGGCCCCAGAATGTGAATGCTGCCTTTCCGTGGAAAGAGGTTACTAGCCTACCTAGGATAGACACTGGTGATCTCTTGCTAACTTTGTGGCTAGCAAACAAGTCATTTTCAGAGCTGGAAAGAACTCTAGAGACCATCTGGTCCCTTCACCTTTCTGAATTTCCTTTCTTCATCTTTAAAATATGGGGATGGAACCAAATGGTCTCTTGGGCCCTGGGCAGCAGCTCTAGAATTTTGTGATTCTGTAAGGTCTTAGGCCAAGTATAAGGATGGAATTTGGGTATGGACCAGAACAAAGTTTACTAGTCCACAGGGGAATCAAATTCTTGACCTCATTAGCTCTGTCCTCTGAACTGCTGTGGATAATTTACTTTATATCTCAAATGTTTCCTACTCCTCCTTTATGTGGGTTGAGCACAGCTGGCTACCAAAAAATAAATAATTAAAATAACCTTACCTCTACAGCCTCCTTTGATGTTGCTAAGTGATTTTCTTATTATCAGCTCTTTGTTTCTGGAAGACAATAGTCTTTTAAGCTTCATTTTAAACCCATTGGATTTAAAAATCTACTGGCATTGCCTGTAGCTTGCTCTTTTACCATGCAAAAACTGAAACCGTGTGTAACTTAGCAAGCACACTTACCTTGATCAGGTCATTTTCTGCCACATTTTATTGATTACTTTTCTCTGTATTTTTCTGGATCTTTCTTTTGAAATCTTTCCTTTTTATCATCTAGGGGACTCATCCAGCAGGTGTTTGTTAGGTGGGAGAGTTCGTTGGTCCCCAGTGGAGTGTTCAAAGATTTTACTTTGGTTATCACTAGGAGATAACCCCAAGACGTGGCCTTTCCATTTTGTAAAGCACAAGATTTTTTAATCTGTTTTGCTTCATCTTTCAGTTTACAGGGGCTGTGAGCCAGATCAGAGCAGGCCTCTTAGGAAATGAGCTAGCTAAAGACTTTTTGAAGGGGGAGCTGATAAAACTAGAGTTTTCCAGGTTAACAAAGGTGGGTGGAGAATTGGAAGTACTTTTTCCCTCATTCGTTGAGTGGTAATGATAGCAATAATAAACACTGGGCTTAAAAAAAAAGGTTCTCTTATTGATATCATTTGTTTTGCCTAGGTTTCCCCCTGTATCCTTCCCCTTCCACACCTCCCAGAAGGAATTCTGGACTTTAAAAAAAAATGCATCACCAGGCTCCTCTAAAAACAAGTTTTGATACCAGGCACTTGGAGGTGATTACTTAATTCTGAATTCTCATCCATATCTTCAGATGCATCCCGAGGCTCTGTTTAAAGTTCCCATTAGACCCTACTCCCCCTTGCCTCCTCCATTGATCCATATCTCTCTACTTTGTTTCCTGATTAGCAAAGCAGCCTAGTGGATTCCCTGGCTCAAATTCTATCTGCCTGCCTGGGGTGGCTGTAAGGTAGGACTATTTCCCTTTATGGCCACAATTGGAAAAAGAAAACAAACAGAAGGGGCTCCAGTTGCTGCCCAGCAGGCCAGGAAAATAGTTCTAATTCTCTTTATGCTTGGGTTCAAAGAGCACTTAACATTTTATGGGAGTGACCAGCCTCCCGAGGTACTCCGGATTTGTGTGAGTCTGTGTTTTAGCTCAGTGGACAATTAACCATCTTGACCCCTGCCCCACTCCCCCTTTCTCTCTGTCTCTGTCTCTCTGTCTCTGTCCCTGTCACTTTGTGGGCTGGAAAGAAGAGAATTGGTGCTCATGCTTTGAAGATTTGAAAAGAAGGGACCAGTGCCCCCTTTGAGCAGAGCATCAGGCAAGGGTGGGGAAACATTTGATCTGGTTCAAAGGAGATGTCTCTGAAGCATGAAGATTGAACTGATTGTGAACTCACTCCATGGAAAGAAGCTTAGTCTGGAAAACAAGACATCCAGGAAGAATCCTTCAATTATGAAGTCCATTGGCATATGGATCTTTATTATCATATCAATATAAAATAGGAGGTGAAAACGAAATGTAAGACACCATCCCTTAAAGCAGAGGCAATTGAATAACTTAATG